CTTGGGGGGGGGATGGAAGGGTAGGGAGGAGGGAAGGGAGGGAGAGGGGGAAGGGTAGGGGAGGGAGGGAGGGAGAGGGAAGGAGGGATGGAGGGAGGGTTGGGGTGGGGGTGAGGGGGAAGGGGGGGAGGGAGGGATGAGGGGGAAGATAGGGGGAAGGGGGAGGGAGGGAGGGAGGGAAGGAGGGGGAAAGGGTGTAAGGGGGGGTAGGGGGCGAGGGGAAGAGATGGGGGAAGGAAGGGAGGGAGGGGGAGAGGGAAAGGGTGGAAGGGTGGGGTGGGGGTGAGGGGAAAAAGGGAGAGATACAGGGAAGATTAATAAAAGAACAAAGAGCAAAGAAGGAGGGAAGAGTGGATGAGAAGACGGAAAGAAAGAGAAAGTGGGAAGAAAGAAGAAAATAAAAGAAGGAAGGAAAATAGGACAAAATGGAGAGAAAAAAGAATGGAAGAGAAAAGAAAGAGAGGGAAGAAGGATAGGGGAACGTGGGAAGAAACGAACGCAAAGAACAGGGAAAGGCGGAGTGAAGATGGAAATAAAAGGAGAAAGGAGGATGGAAAGACAAAAGGGAAACGGAAGAAGAAAAAGTTATTTTTTTAAACATATCTTAAAGAAAATGTAATATATATATATTTATTTATATTTATATATATATATATATATATATATATATATATATATATATATATATATATATATATATATACATATATATATATATATATATATATATATATATATATATATATATATATATATATATATATATATATATATATGTATGTATATATACATATATATATATATATATATATATATATATATATATATATATATATATATATATATATATATATATATATATATATATATATATATATACATATATATATATATATATATATATATATATATATATATATATATATATATATATATATATATATATATATATATATATATGTATATATATATATATATATATATATATATATATATATATATATATATATATATATATATATATATATATTTATATTTATATTTATATATATATATATACATATATGGTTTCAGATAAGATATTTAGGATCTTTTGTAAGATTACTAAATCATTCGATTAAAGATTAGTAATTCTATTTGAAGATATAACTTATGTAAAATATGATAGATGGTACTATTAAACAAATTAGATTTAGCTGATTACAAAATTATTCTATTAGATAAAGATTATCTTTAGAATTGAAAATGAACAACTTAAATCAGCAGGATTAAAACTATTTGGTTTTAGATAAAATGGATTGATCTAAATGTTTTTGTTTTTTTATGTTGATATCATTTCATGAAACTACATATATTTTACCTGGAAATATCAGATTATAAACAAATCAAGAAATAAATAGATATATATATGTGTGTATGTGTGTGCATGTATAACAGCATGTATTTGTATGTATATATATGCGTGTTTGAGTGTGTGTGTGTATAAAAGCATGTGTGTATGAATATATATACATATATATGTGTGTATATATATATGTGTGTGTGTGTGTGTGTGTGTGTGTGTGTGTGTGTGTGTGTGTCTATATATATATATATATATATATATATATATATATATATATATATATATATATATATATATATATATATATATATATATATATATATATACATATATATATGTAATAATGATGACAGTATACAAGTACACTGTATAAGTATACTGTGATATATTCTAGTATGATCTCACAATAAACTTTAATTTCTGTTTGCTTATTACTAATTATCGTATAATTACCTGTCACTCGTTACCACAGTTCAGTCAAACGTCAAAATCAACTTTCTAGTAAACCACGTACGCCCATGACCTTTAACCCCTCCTCCCCCCTCCCCCATCCCCCCTTCCCCTCTGAGACCTCCCACTCGCCCTCCCCCCCCCACCCCCGAAACCCATCGAAACAGACCCCTCTTACCCCCACCCCCACCCCTCGACAAGCCTCCCCCTCCCCATACAATCCCCTCTCTCACCCACCCCACCCCCCACCCCCCCTACTCCAAAACCTCCTCACCCTGAACACTCCCTTTCTCCCCCCCACCCCCACATCCACCCCTACCCCACCCCCACACCCCCACCCCTAGACACGCCCCCTCCGACCGCCCACGAATCAAGCAAGGGCCGCCCATCAATTAAACCTCACAACATAGGGGTTCCATGAAAGAGGAAAGAGAAGGGACTCTCGGATTCCCTTGTAAATTATGCAAGAGCTGAGTGTCGCCATGTGAGCTGGGAGGGGGTCTCGCGCCTGAGGGAGTGAGGGGAATGGAGGGGGGAGGGGGAGAAGAGAGGGAGGGGAATGGAGGGTGGAGGGGAGGGAGTGAAGAGAATGGAGGGGGAAGGGGAGGGAGTGAGGGGAATGGAGGGTGGAGGGGAGGGAGTGAAGAGAATGGAGGGGGAAGGGGAGGGAGTGAGGGGAATGGAGGGGGAAGGGGAGGGAGGGGGGAATGGAGGGAGAAGAGGCGGGAGGGAGGGGAATGGAGGGGGGAGGGGAGGGAGGGAGTGAGGGGAAATGGGGTGAAGAAGGGAGGATGGGGATAGGGAAGGGAGGGGAAAAGGGGATGGGAAAGGGAGGGGAAATGGGGTGAGGAAGGGAGGAAGAGGGATGGGGAAGGGGAGGGGAGGGGAATAGAGGGTGGAAGGGAGGAAGGGAGGGAATGGGGGTGAGGGGAGGAGGGAGGGAAAAGGAGGAAGGGGAAGGGAAGGGGATGGGGGAAAAATAGTGAGGGGAAGGAGGAAAAGAATAAGGAGAAAGGGAGTGAGGGGATAGGGGGATGGGGAAGTGAGAGGAGGGAGCAAGGGGAAAGGAGGATGAGGGAAGGGAGGGAGGGGGAAAGGGGATGGGGAAGGGAGGGGAGGGAGGAGAAAGAAGGATGAGGGAGGGAGTGAGGGGAATGCGGGTAAGTTTGGGGGAAGATAGTGAGGAGAGGAAAGAATGAGAGGTAGGGTAGGGGAAGATAGGGAGGGGAATGGAGTGGAGAGTGGAGGGGAGATAGTGAGGAAATGGGAAGAAGGGAGAAATCTGGAGGGAAAAGGGGATGGGGAGCTGATAGTGAGGGAAGGAAGAGAGAGGAGTGAGGGGAAAAAGAGATGGGGAAGATCACGAGTGAAAGGGTGAGGGAAAGATAGTAAACAGAGGGAAGAGAGAAGAGGCAGAGAAGTAGGGAAATCAAATCACGAAGTGGAGAAGATGGGGGAGAAAGAAGGGGATGAGTGAAAAGAGGGGAAGAGGAGGGGAAATCGCGAAAGTTGTGGGTGTGGAGGAGAAGGAGGAGGAAGAGGGGAAAATTATTGGAGGCGAATTAGACGTCAAGAGGTTAGGAAAAGGGTTGGGATGTTAGAAGGATTGGGGCATAAGAGGAGGGATGGTGGGGGGGGGTCAGACAAATGGGCGTGAGGAAGAGAGAAGAGAGAAGAACAGAGAGAAGAGAAGAGAGGAAGAAGAGGATGAGAGAAGAGAGATAGGCGGGCTGTGTGCGTGAGAGGAACAAGGGGATCGCGAGAGAGACAAAATAGACATGAGAGAGTGAGATAAACACGAGAAAAATAGACAAAAAAGAAAGGAAAGCGAGAGAGAGAAAGGCACATCGGATTTTCTCTCTCTCTCTCTCTCTCTTTTCTTTTCCTTTTTTTATTAAACATGAAAGAGAGAAGCATCCATCGCAAACAGATACACACCTCGTCATAGGGAGAAAACCGACACTAGAATCATTAATAAACAAATCACTGCCGCCTTAATGAGGACCAACGCTCTTGCAACATCTAATCCAACACTGATGAATGCAATATTGAGGTGATACATAATTCCCTCTCTTCTTTATTATTATCAATTACCAGAACCTCGTCATGTGTCATGTTGGTGTCATGAGAGTTCGTTAGTGCCTCGGAGTAGGTGGGGAACGGATGGGGAAGAGAAAATATGGGATAAAAATGAAAGAGCGGAAAGAAAGGGAGAGAATGGGGGAGGATTGGGGAGGAAAGGAAGGGGAACGGGAGGGAGGAAGGATGGTGGAAGGGAGAGAGGGGGGAGAGGGAGAGAAAGAGAGAGAGAGAGATGGGGGGGAAAGGGAAAGAGAGAGATTGGAGGGAGAGAAAGAGAGAGAGAGAGAGAGAGAGAGATGGGGGAGAGAGGGAACGAGAGAGATTGGGGGGAGAGAAAGAGAGACAGAGAGATGGGGGAGAGAGGAAAAGAGAGAGATTGGGGGGGAGAGGGGGAGGGAGAGAGAGAGATGGGGGAGAGGGAGAGGGAGAGAGAGAGTTGGGGAGAGAAGAGAGAGAGAGAGAGAGAGAGAGAGAGAGAGAGAGAGAGAGAGAGAGAGAGAGAGAGAGAGAGAGAGAGAGAGAGAGAGAGAGAGAAGGGGGAGGGAGAGGGAGAGAGAGAGATGTGGGGGCGGGGAGAGGGAGAGGGAGAGATAAACACACAAACAGACACAGACAGACAAATAGACAGAAATTAAAAAAAAGAGACAGAGAAGGAGATCCGTGATTTATTTCTTTAAAGATTCAAGAAAAATAACAGAACAGAGAAGCTATAGAAAAAAGGAAATAAATGAAAATGAAGAAAAACGAGAGACAGAGAGACAGAAGAAAGATCCAGAAGCGAAGAGAAGACAAAACACACGAGAGATAAAAGAGTGGAGAGGATGAAATAGACGAAACGAAGAAAAAAAAAACAGATAACGAACCAGAAAGAAGGGAATAACAATTAACACCTTTTTTCTCACCCTTAGAAGAACCAAAGACGACAACAAAGAAAGAAAAAAAAAAACAATAACCCTTTCACCCTTAGAGAAATCCCACACTGACTAGAATAACAAGAAGCTTCAAATAACACACTCCCCCCCCCCGTGGAGCACACCCTTTAACCCTTAAGTAACATCCTAGAACAACAGAGAACAAACAACACCCTTTTTCACCCTTTGCCTTACCTTCACCCTCAGAGAAA